GAGTCTCACTCTGTCGCCCAGGCTGGAGTGCAGTGGCACACTCATGGCCACCACAACCTTGACCTGCTTGTCTCTGGCGATCCTTCGATCCCAGCCTTCCAAGTAGCTGGAACTACAATAATAGGCGTGCTCTACCACGCTTGGCTTATTATTATTATTATTTTTATTTATTGTAGAGACAAAGTCTCACCAAGTTGCCCAGCCTGGTCTTGAACCCCTGAGTTCAGGTAATCCTCTCCCCTCGGCCTCCCAAAGTGCTGGGATTACAGGCTTGAGACACCGCTCCGGGCCACATATGTAATTTTTTTATTTTCAAGTAGTCACATTAAGAAAAATAAATAGAGCCGGGCTCGGTGGCTCAGCCTGTAATCTCGCGCCTTTGGGAGGCTGAGGTGAGCGGATTTCCTGAGCCCACGGGTTCGAGACCCACCCGGGCAACTTGGCGAGACCTCATCTCTACAATAAATCAAAACTTAGCAGCCGGGCTCAGTGGCTCAGCCTGTAATCCCGCGCCTTTGGGAGGCTGAGGTGAGTGGATTGCCCAAGTTCACGGGTTCGAGACCCGCCTGGGCAGGCGAGACCTCATCTCTACAAGAAATCAAAAAATTAGCCGGGCGTGGTGGCGCATGCCTGTAATTCCAGCTACTCGGAAGGCTGAGGTGGAAGGATCGCTGGAGCCCAGCAGGCGAGGATGCAGTGGCTGGAAGCGGCCACTGCACTCCAGTCTGGGCGACAGAGTGAGACTCCGACTCAAAAAAACAAAGCTTAGCTGGGCGTGGTGGCGCGCACCTATAGTTCCAGTTACTTGGAAGGCTGAGGCGGAAGGATCGCCGGAGCCCAACAGGTTGAGGCTGCAGTGGCCCAGAGGTGTGCCACTGCCCTCCAGCCTGGGTGACAGAGTGAGACTCCAACTCAAAAAAAATTCAACATTATTTATATGAATCCTTTCACTATAGCACAGTAGTTGAGTTAAATAAGCATAGGTTGGAATCCTGATTCCATCACTCACTAGCTGTGCAAGCTTGAGTTCAATATGTTAGTTGTTATTACTGTTGTTATTATTATCTTTCAGTAAACTTGCATTTAAGAGAATGGATTCAATTCCAGGTGGGCCACCGTCACCGAGCACATGCATCTCACGCTTCTATCCCTAGGATGAGAGGACAATAGGGGGGCATTTGACTCACCCTCGGAAGCTTTCCAGTAGGATACACCAACAGCATGAAGACTGACAGGATGCGAAGCCATGTTCTTAAGTGTAATGATCACTGTGTCATAAACCTCAGCCCGGATGGTAGGACCCAACAAACCTGCAAGAATGAGATGTCCACCAAGGCTGACGCTTCTTGTTAGAATACGGGAAAACTGTCACCTATAATTCTCAGCAAAAATTCTAAAATAGAAAATGCGCCATCTTACTATCTTATTTACATACATATTTAACATCTAAGTGGAGGTAAGCAGTCCCAGCAAAAAGACAGAAAATACAGTGTGTTTCCCTGAAGGTGGCAGTAAGGGGAACATTCTCTTTGGAAGCTGTTCTCTTGAACTGCAACGTCAAGATTGGGGAATCCTTGCTAGGAAATAAGATACTCAAGTGCATAATTAGCATCAAACGTTGTTTTTATTACCCATCCAGGGTGGCCTGGGCTTGACGATGTTAAAAAGGTGATCCGTGAACTCTACAAACACAGTCTTTTTGTACATGACTGAAGTGTTGAGTGGAAAGGATCTTGGCACTTTAGGAGGAGATCTGTGTGAAGAAAGGAAATAGTCATTTATTTTGGTCTCCCCTCCTGTGAACCCATTTCAAAAAGCAGATGGAAGTAATGCTTCCATCTCCTTCTTCTCTATTGTTAACAAGGCAAATTGGAAGTTGTATATGAATCCCTGACACCCATCAAGCCAAAACACTGTTTTCACAAGTCAACTGATAGGTTAGGTACCATGTAATGAGTCCTAAAATCAATACCCATATACTTCATCAGCCAAAAAAACCCTTTGCCAAAGCAATAACTACTGCATCCTTCAATTTCATCTCTAAGACATGAGGCAGGATAGTCAGTGTAGGTTACACATAGAGAGACACATTTCTTGTAAGCAGTTTTGGAATAGAGGAGGTGTTCAGACATTTTTTCCTTATCACTTCTGACAAGACCACCCAGTCCACCCCAGCCGTTCAGCTCTTCAAAAGGAAAAGCTCGTCAAGGTGTAGAAATGCGGCAGCCCAACCTTTCAGTTCATGGTTTAGCATAATAATTACTAAAAACCTATCTCATTATCTGTTGAAGGTGAAGGCTTAACCCCATCCCCCTCAGCTCCTCAAAGAAAAGCCCATCAAGGTATAGAAATGATAATCAGACCACCTTTTAGCTCCTGAATTAACATATTAATGCCTAAAAGTCTAGCAAGTCTTCTGTCAAAGGCAAAATGCATGTTCCGGAAAAAGGCCATAAGCAGATGTCTTGAAAGAAAAATATTTTTCTCTTTCTCTTCCTAATAAATTCTGTTTTAAACTATTCTGGCCGTATTTTCAGTAGTGAGTCAAAGAACTCACCAGCGCTGCGTCGCACCCTACCTGGTGGCAACATTTAAGTATCTGGTATTCAAATTTTGCCAATATGTATGCAGAAGGATACTTCCCTTTTTAGGATGCTAGAAATACCACAAAGGGAATTACCTTTCCATGAAGACTATGTATATTAAAACCCACTAGTGCCAGGAGCTGGTAACCCAGAATCAATCCTACATTACTGCTCATTCTTGTTTCCAAATAATCCTAATTACTCGTTTATCCATGAATCAGTTCCTGAATCAGAAATTATGCTATTATATAATTAATTATCTAAATGTTCCCCAGGTGCTATTTTTGCCTCAGTTATTAAAACTCCTTTAAGTGAAGGCTGGTTCCCAAATTTTCCTCTCTCCCTATCTGACAAACTTAGGTCAGCACATCGTGGTGCCTCATCTAGGTTGAATAATCAAAAGGACCAATGTGAACCCTAGTGAAGAAGGGACACTGGCCCCAGATGAAATGGTAGGAATCACAAAGTGTTTGAAAATGACTCCTTCCACTCACTGGTTTTCATATGCTGACCATTTTTGCACTCCATGGAGCACTTCTGCAGCTTTTCTATGCCATAAAGAGCCTCATTTCCTGACTTGTGCTTTTGGACATCTAACTTTTATCTCTCATTAGATTTTACCAATTGGAATCTTTTCAACAACCCAAGGGATATAGGCACCAGGCATTTGGGGAATCAAGGCTGATGTGGAGAAACAAAGCTCTTGCCCTGGGAGAAAGCTTTCATATGTAGATCCTGGTCTGCATACCTCAATCAATTTTTTTTTTTTTGAGTTGGAGTCTCACTCTGTCACCCAGACTGGAGTGCAGTTGCCGATCCCGGCCACCACAGCCTCGACCTGCTGGGCCAGGCGATCCTTCTGCCTCAGCCTTGCAAGTAGCTGGAACTACAGGCGTGCGCTACCACACCCGGCCAATTTTTTGATTTATTGTAGAGATGAGGTCTCGCCAAGTTGCCCAGGCGGGTCTCGAACCCGCAGGCTCAGGCAATCCACTCACCTCGGCCTCCCAAAGCACGGGATTACAGGCTGAGCCACCGAGCCCGGCTTTCAATCAATTTTTTAAGAATTGAGTATTCACTCCCCATAGATGTACATTAATTCACTTATAAACCATATACTATCGGGCTCAGTGGCTACTTGGATGGCTGAGCAGAAGGATCCCTGGAGCCCAGGAGGTCGAGGCTGCAGTGGACAGGAGCGGCCAGTGCACTCAGCCTGGGTGACAGAGTGAGACTCCGACTCAAAATATATATATATACGCTAAGTAAGGGCTTTAATGGAAAAAGTAGACAACATGCAATAACAGATGTATATTGTAAGCAGAGAGATGGAAGTTCTAAGATAGAATAAAAAAGAAATGCTAGAGATAAAAAACACTAATTTTTTTAGAAACAGAAATTTAAAATGTCTTTCGGCCGGGCATGGTGGTTCATGCCTATAATCCCAGCACTTTGGGAGGCCGAGATGAGAGGACTGCCTGAGACCAGGGGTTCGAAACCAGCCTGGGCAACATGGTGAGACCTTATCACTACAGTAAATCAAGAAAAATTAGCCGGACATGGTGGCATGTGCCTGCGGTTCCAGCTACTTGGCTGATGTGGAACGATTGCCTGAGCCCAGCAGGTCAAGGCTGCGGTGGCCGTGAGCATGCCACTGTACTCCAGTCTGGGTGACAGAGTGAGACTCCAACTCAAAAAAAAAAGTCCCTGAATATCCAAGAACTGTGGGACAACTCCAAAAGGTATAACATGCATATGACAGAAACACCAAGAGTGCAGAAAGGAACAGAAGCAAGTTTTTGAAGCAATAGTGACTTAGAATTTCCCCCAAATTAATGTCAGACACAAAGCCACAGATCCAGGAAGCTCAAAGACTACCAAGAAGGATAAATGCAAGTAAACAAACAAAAAACTGTGCCTAGGTGTATCATATTCAAACTTCTGAAAATGAAAGGTAAATAAAAAATTGTGTAAGAAACCTGGGGGAGGAGGGTACTTTACCTACAGAGGAGCAAAGATAAGAATGATATCCAATTTTTCATTGGAAATCATGCAAGTAAGCAGACAGTGGAGTGAAATATTGAAGTGTTAAGAGAAAAAAACAAGTAACCTAGAATTTTGGACCCTGTAAAAGTTAATCTACAAATATGGAGGAGAAATACTTTCTCTGATAAACAAAAATGGAAGGAATTTGTTGCCAGTAGGTTTGTCTTGCAAGAAATATTCAAATAAATTCTTCAGATAGAAGGAAATTGGCTCTACATAAGGAAAGGACAATCATCAGAGAACGAATATGTGAAAAGCACATCAAACACAGAAACAGCATTAGACAACCAAGTGGAATGAATGACTTAACCAGGTGATGCTTTCCAGCCTTTGTTATTGGCACTCCAATTTTGGCAATATGAATGTATAAATAGAGGAGCCATGGCAAAGGCTATGCATGACCCCAATGTCATGGACCCACCAAAGCTGATCTAGCTTCTGAAGCTGTGATTGTCCAAATTGCCAGCAACAGAGAACAAGGCTAAGCCCGATATGTCACTATTCCTCAAGGAAACCATCCTGAGGTAAGCCTCAGAAAGCACCGCCATTCAGGGCCACATGAAATATTTGATCTTACATAACATTGCATCAGATAAAGAGACCCACTTTATTTATTTATTTATTTTTTGAGTTGGAGTCTCACTCTGTCACCCAGACTGGAGTGCAGTGGCCGCTCCCGGCCACCA